ACATCTGCTCGTTCATTCCCACATATTCCAACATGGGAGGGGATCCACAGAAACTTGATGACTCTTCCCTGATTGGTAAGTACTCTCACAGCTCTCTTGATTTCAGCGACTATTGCAAGATTTTCTGCCTGATTTTTACTTAGGCTTTGCAGTGCTGCTTTTGAATCGGTGCAAATCACTGCACCATTAGTGTTCCGTTCAAGAAACCTTAACGCCATAACAATGGCAGTTAGCTCTGCTTGCGTTGAAGAGGCATAGTTCTCAATACGTGCTTTTTCTTCATTTCTGCGTTGGAAAGTATTATCCTTGATTACCGTGTATGCTGCACCAGCCCTGCCATTGATAGGATTAGATGACCCGTCAGTGTAGATTTGATCTAGTTCATCTCCGGCTTCTTTATAAATGTCCTCGAGATACTTGTGCCTCATTTCTTGTGGTATCATGTTGGATTTTTTCATTGCCATTTCATTGATGATGATCTTACATGAGTCATCCTCCCAGGGAGGTAACCTCTCTACAGGCAGGAGCTCACGGGCTTGCTCAAGCAGGTGAAGCTCTTCAAGGTAGCAGACTGCTCTGTGATGCCATTTTTTGCTTCTCCTGTTTCCCCCTGAAAGTAGCACAGAGCTCAGTTTTTTCTTGGCAATATCATTGTAATGGGGATCTCTGGCTATCCTAATTGCAAGCTTAGCATTCAGCTCCTGAATTCTGCTTTTAATACTGGGAAGGGACAACTCCTCTCGTAGATTAGACGTTTTGGCAGTTCTTGGGACTCCAAGAATGATTGTCATGGCTTCATTTTGAATGCTTTCAAGCCTTTTCATATCGGTTTGGGAGTAGGTGCACAGTACTGGTGCGGCATAGTCTATGACGGAGCGCACATAGGCTGTGCACATCATTTTGAGCACGGCAATAGAGGCTCCATGTCCATTCCAGGTCATAGCTTTCAGTGCCCTGAGTCGACTTTTGCATGTTCCTATGAGTTGATTGAGCTCCTCTTTCTTTCCCTTGTTAGAGCCGACAGTGACGCCAAGGTACCGGTAGTGGTCAACCCATTCAAGTGTTACACCATTAATTTGCAGTTCTTCATTTGCTCTCCGCTTGTGATGGGAGTATGCCTTCGTCTTGTTTGTGGAGAGAGTGAAACCGAGCTCAATACATTTCCTTCCGAGGAGTTCAATGGACTGTTCAATTTTTCCCAAGGTGGGAGCTTGTATTAGGACATCATCTGCATATCCCACTTGTTGTGTTCCTTCCGGAAAATCAATATTTGCAATGGCGTTCATAAGTACATTGAATAGTGTAGGGCTTAAGACTCCGCCTTGGGGGGTCCCGAGTTCCATACTCATTGTTCTGGAGACTGCTCCATTGAAGCAAACCTTGGCTTTCCTTCCTGTGAGGTAGTCTTCAACCCATTTCATGAGTCTCCCCTTGACACCCATGCATGCAAGCTCGTCCAGGATCGCAATCCCCTGTGCTTTGTCGAAGGCTCCTTTGATGTCAACAAATACAGAGTACCTAGCCGTGTCATTAACCAAGTAATTAACTATACAATTTGCTGTGCTCCGTCCTTTAACAAATCCATTGACCCCCTCCCCTAACCTGCCTATTTTGTGCAACAGTCGGTTTAGGATGATCCTTTCAAGCATCTTGCAAGTGCATGACACGAGACTGATAGGTCTGTAATTACCAGGGTCATTAGGCTTCGGTATGGGAATAATTATTGCGTGTTTCCATTGTGTGGGCCACACATTATCCACCGGGCTGTGGTGGATATGTGGGCCTGCGGGCCGCTCCAAGCAACAGCCTGGTGGACCAGGCTGTCACAAGTCAAGCCTGGCCTCGGGCCGGGCTTGTCTGGGTACAAGTGACAGGATGAACAACCCAGCGGGTTTTCTTCCTATTGGGGAGTGTTGTACATGCTGCTATGGCGGTGTGTCCACTCACAGGATGAGTGGCGCTGCCCAATAAACTCGCCCCTCGGAGCAAAATTTAAAAAAGAACTCCCATAACCCAATCCAGGTACATTATTATTATTATAAATATATAAAGTGACTGGTGGAGACATCCGGCCGCCGCAGCAGCACTGGGGTAAAGTCAGCACATACGAGGAGCCGGCTTGAGCTACGCGAGTAAAAACCAATACCATTATACTGGGAGCAGGTAGTGGGAGGCGGGCTGGGTATGGTGGGGGCTGGCTGGCTGGGTGACGCTACTCCCACACACACACCATACCCGCTGCCCCCATCCACACACACACACTACCTGCTACCCACACACACACACACCATGTACACACTACCCCCATGTTTCTGGCATATGAAGAAACGAGTAATATATTATATATATATATATATATATATATATATATATATATATATATATATATATATATATATATATGTATATATATGTATATATATATATATATATATATGTCGTACCTAGTAGCCAGAACTCACTTCTCAGCCTACTATTCAAGGCCCGATTTGCCTAATAAACCAAGTTTTCCTGAATTAATATATTTACTATAATTTTTTTCTTATGAAATGATAAAGCAACACTTTTCTCTATGTATGAGGTCAATTTTTTTTTATTGGAGTTAAAATTAACGTAGATATATGACCGAACCTAACCAACCCTACCTAACCTAACCTAACCTATATTTATAGGTAAGGTTAGGTTAGGTAGCCAAAAAAAGCTAGGTTAGGTAGGTTAGGTTGACGAAAAAACATTAATTCATGAAAACTTGGCTTATTAGGCAAATCGGGCCTTGAATAGTAGGCTGAGAAGTGCGTTCTGGCTATTAGGTACGACATATATATATATATATATATATATATATATATATATATACCGTATTTAATTGTCGCACCTAAAAGCCAGCGCCACACTACTTGGCCTAGTATGCAAGGCCCGTTTTGCTATATTCAAATATTTCTTTCCAAATTGTATTCTAATTAATAATATTATATCAATGAATGAATTACTGGCCTGATTATGTCAGGTTAAGTTAGGTTAGGATATGTTAGTTAGGTTAGATTTAATCAAATTTCTATGTTAGTTTTAACTAAAAAAATCAAATCTCATTTAATATAATAGAAAGCTTAATGATCCCAAAAGAAAAAAAATTAAAAATATATTTCAGGAAAATTTGGCTTGTTAGGTAATTTGGCCTATTAGGTAAAACATAATTATATATATACTAAACTAAACAATGTATTATATAATAGGGGGGGGGGGGGTTGTGCCTCTGCTAGCAAAAACATACACAAAGCAATAGAAGGTATTTTCAGGTTCCAAACGTAGTGACCATGGTTTTCTCTAAGTTTCAACTTTTGAAAGTTAAAAGAATGTGAATGTCTTTGGTCTGAAACAGGAAACTGGCTGCTCTTTGGTCTCTGGTAGTGTCACCGAGTCTAGAACCTAATTCATTGAGATAATTCATGGCACTTTTGCCACAGGAGCCCCAAGAGTCTCTGATGTTATGGAGCCAATCGTGTACCGATATTCCAATATATATATATGTCGTACCTAATAGCCAGAACGCACTTCTCAGCCTACTATTCAAGGCCCGATTTGCCTAATAAGCCAAGTTTTCATGAATTAATGTTTTTTCGTCTACCTAACCTAACCTAACCTAGCTTTTTTTGGCTACCTAACCTAACCTAACCTATAAATATAGGTTAGGTTAGGTTAGGTAGGGTTGGTTAGGTTCGGTCATATATCTACGTTAATTTTAACTCCAATAAAAAAAATTGACCTCATACATAGAGAAAAGGGTTGCTTTATCATTTCATAAGAAAAAAATTATAGTAAATATATTAATTCAGGAAAACTTGGCTTATTAGGCAAATCAGGCCTTGAATAGTAGGCTGAGAAGTGAGTTCTGGCTACTAGGTACGACATATATATATATATATATATATATATATATATATATATATATATATATATATATATATATATATATATATATATATATGTCGTACCTAATAGCCAGAACTCACTTCTCAGCCTACTATTCAAGGCCCGATTTGCCTAATAAGCCAAGTTTTCCTGAATTAATATATTTACTATAATTTTTTTCTTATGAAATGATAAAGCAACCCTTTTCTCTATGTATGAGGTCAATTTTTTTTTATTGGAGTTAAAATTAACGTAGATATATGACCGAACCTAACCAACCCTACCTAACCTAACCTAACCTATATTTATAGGTAAGGTTAGGTTAGGTAGCCAAAAAAAGCTAGGTTAGGTTAGGTTAGGTAGGTTAGGTAGACGAAAAAACATTAATTCATGAAAACTTGGCTTATTAGGCAAATCGGGCCTTGAATAGTAGGCTGAGAAGTGCGTTCTGGCTATTAGGTACGACATATATATATATATATATATATATATATATATATATATATATATATATATATATATATATAAGGGGGTTACCACCTCTGGTGCAATTATAGGGACCCACAGCCTCAAAGAATGTATATGTATATTATAAATATACAGTATATTATAAATATGCATATATAGTACTGTACACATGTCGTACCTAATAGGACAAGTTCCTGAACAAGCCGAATTTTCCTGAAATATTTTATTTAACATTTTTTTGTGGAATGATAAAGTTTTCCATTATATATACGAGTGGAATTTTTTTTTCATTTTAGCCAAAACTTACAAATTTGATCTAACCTAACCTAACCTAACCTACCTAATCTAACCTAACCTAACCTAACCTACCTAATCTAACCCAAGTCAGTAATTCAGGATAATACAATAATATTAAATGGAATAAACCAATGTGAGGGGAAATTTCAAATTTCTGAAAATAACGAAATTCACTCTGCTTGTTAGGCAAATTTTGCCTTGCATACTAGGCCAAGTAGTGTGGTTCTGGCTATTAGGTACGATATATATTATATATAATTTCATATCTAATAACCAGAGATGCATAAAAAGCCGATTTTTAACATATATTGATTTGTTATTTTATTTCAAACTGAGAAAGGTTGAACTCCCGGCCGACACGGGGTCAATACATCCATGTTGTCAATACTGCTAGGGGTCAATACATCCATGTTGTCAATACTGCTAGGGGTCAACATATCCATGTTGTCAATACTGCTAGGGGTCAACACATCTATGTTGTCAATACTGCTAGAGGTCAACACATCCATGCTGTCAATACTGCTAGGGGTCAACACATCCATGTTGTCAATACTGCTAGAGGTCAATACATCCATGTTGTCAATACTGCTAGGGGTCAACATATCCATGTTGTCAATACTGCTAGGGGTCAACACATCTATGTTGTCAATACTGCTAGAGGTCAACACATCCATGCTGTCAATACTGCTAGGGGTCAACACATCCATGTTGTCAATACTGCTAGAGGTCAACACATCCATGCTGTCAATACTGCTAGGGGTCAACACATCCATGTTGTCAATACTGCTAGGGGTCAATACATCCGTGCTGTCAATACTGCTAGGGGTCAACACATCCTTGTTGTCAATACTGCTAGGGGTCAATACATCCGTGCTGTCAATACTGCTAGGGGTCAACACATCCATGTTGTCAATACTGCTAGGGGTCAATACATCCGTGCTGGCAATACTGCTAGGGGTCAACACATCCTTGTTGTCAATACTGCTAGGGGTCAACACATCCTTGTTGTCAATACTGCTAGAGGTCAACACATCCATGTTGTCAATACTGTATAATATAAAGCAGCTATTAAACTAAATTTCATAAAAATCTAGTTTAATGATATTGATCTCTTTTAAGGGGGGGAGGGGAGGTTTCCCTCTGATGTGCAACCCGTTCTCGCACTTGCTTATAGTCAATATTGGCTTATTAATAGGTGCATATGTGACATACTAATTTATTGTGAATATTTTAGTTTACCTTGAAAAGCTTAATAGAAAACACCGACCTTACCTAACCTTCTTAGTATGTTAAGATAAGCATCTTATTGCTTCTTAATTACAATTATTACTTAACCTATACCTATATTGATATTACAGTTTTATAAAAATAATAAAACAAAACCAAAATATTTAAATAAATTGTAAAGTAACTCAGGATATTGTCAAATATTGTATAAAATCTCTATTGTTTAATAAAACTGAAAAAGAAATTCCTAATATGAAAACTGGTGTTTAGCAAATCTATAGGAAGAGTTTTTACCTAAAAAACAAAATATAACTTGGCATATACCACATATGTACTTATTAATCAGCCAAATAGTGACTACAAGTAATAAGTCATATATGTACTGTCTTGTGCGAGAAGCGGGTTGCAATGTGCGGAGAGTTCTTGACCAGCAACTTATCGGTATTCTTGCTCTTGGAGTAGATCATCAACTCTCTATCTTCTGGCTGGTGTTGAGACGGAAGGTCCTGTTTCTAGCAATAATATCTTTCAGGACTCGTTTTTCCCACCGTTCTTGAGCCACGGAAAAGAAGTTCTGAGGAATAAGTTAAGTTCCTGTGGAATAGTTTTAACTGATGAGGACACACACACACATGGCTGTGTTGACTATTTCATGAGACGAGTCATGGCGATTCATCTTCCTTTTAACTAATGATCTCTAAGATGCATCCGGTTGCGTATATATTATTGAATAGGACCTGCTTGATACCTGCTTGATACCTGCCGTATTCTACAGAGTTCTTGATCAACCTGCTTATAGCGGAGGCCTAATAGACTACCATACTAGTACCCACCTTCCAGTACAGACTACCAATTAGACTTTACTGGGGCCTGACAGCTGAGTGGACAGCGCTACGGATTCGTAGTCCTGAGGTTCCGCGTTCGATCTCCGGTGGAGGCGGAAACAAATGGGCAGTTTCTTTCACCCTGATGCCATTGTTCACCTAGCAGTAAATAGGTACCTGGGAGTTAGACAGCTGCTACGGGCTGCTTCCTGGGGGTGTGTAACAAAAAGGAGGCCTGGTCGAGGACCGGGCCGCGGGGACGCTAAGCCCCGAAATCATCTCAAGATAACCTCAAGATACTGTAAAGAATAAACGTAGTTTAAACAAGTGTCCGTTGATGATGTTAGTGAGGAGAGAGGAGAGCCAGGGTGGAGGGGTGGGGGGCGGGGGTCACCAAGTACATGACTAACACGGCGCTTCACCGCCCCCCCCCCAACACCTTGTACTCACCTACTTGTGTTTGCGGGGGTTGAGCTCTGGCTCTTTGATCCCGCCTCTCAACTGTCAATCAACTGGTGTACAGATTCCTTAGCTTCTTGAGCTCTCTGACACTGAAAAAGTTCTTTCTAATGTCTCTGTGGCTCATTTAGGCACTCAGCTTCCACCTGTGTCCCCTTGTGCGAGTACCATCCGTGTTAAATAATCCATCCTTGTCCACCCTGTCAATTTCCCTAAGAATTTTGTATGTGGTAATTTGTGTTTTGTACGTGTATGTGTCAGTGTCAGTAGTGTCAGTATAGTGTTTCAGTGTCAGAGTAGTTAACAGATGGAATACACTAGGAAGTGATGTAGTGGAGGCTGACTCCATACACAGTTTCAAATGTAGATATAATAGAGCTCGAGAAGCTCAGGAATCTGTACACCAGTTGATTGAGAGTTGAGAGGCGGGACCAAAGAGCCAGAGCTCAACCCCGCGCAATCACAATTAGATGAGTACACCCTCCTGGTGGTTGATGGTACCATGACCACTACCATACCATGACTCAAGTCACCCAACCCACCATTAACTCTCAACCAGCCTCAGGTATGGTGTCCTCTCTCACACGAAACATATCGAAACTTTAACATTCGCTTCTGAAAGAGGTGTTTTTCCCCTCGCTATAGATCTAAGTTGAGCCAATATGAAGGGGGCATTAAGTGGCAGAGTGGGGTGTTGCTGCGTTAATTCTGCCCCACGGTGCCCTACACCCGTCAATTGTCTCCCCGTCCTCTGTTGTGTGTTCCGCTTGTGCGACCCTTGACCGCTGCCGTCATGTGCGCCCCTTGACCGCTGCCGTCATGTGCGCCCCTTGACCGCTGCCGTCATGAGCGACCCTTGACCGCTGCCGTCATGTGCGCCCCTTGACCGCTGCCGTCATATACGCCCCTTGACCGCTGCCGTCATGTGTGCCCCTTGACCGCTGCCGTCATGTGCGCCCCTTGACAGCTGCCGTCATGTGCGCCCCTTGACCGCTGCCGTCATGTGCGCCCCTTGACCGCTGCCGTCATGTGCGCCCCTTGACCGCTGCCGTCATGTGCGACCCTTGACCGCTGCCGTCATGTGCGCCCCTTGACCGCTGCCGTCATGTGCGCCCCTTGACCGCTGCCGTCATGTGCGACCCTTGACCGCTGCCGTCATGTGCGCCCCTTGACAGCTGCCGTCATATGCGCCCCTTGACAGCTGCCGTCATGTGCGCCCCTTGACCGCTGCCGTCATGTGCGCCCCTTGACCGCTGCCGTCATGTGCGCCCCTTGACCGCTGCCGTCATGAGCGACCCTTGACCGCTGCTGTCATGTGCGCCCCTTGACCGCTGCCGTCATATACGCCCCTTGACCGCTGCCGTCATGTGCGCCCCTTGACCGCTGCCGTCATGTGCGCCCCTTGACCGCTGCCGTCATGTGCGCCCCTTGACCGCTGCCGTCATGTGCGCCCCTTGACCGCTGCCGTCATGTGCGCCCCTTGACCGCTGCCGTCATGTGCGACCCTTGACCACTGCCGTCATGAGCGACCCTTGACCGCTGCCGTCATGTGCGCCCCTTGACCGCTGCCGTCATGAGCGACCCTTGACCGCTGCCGTCATGAGCGACCCTTGACCGCTGCCGTCATGTGCGACCGCTCCAGTGGGCGGCCCAAGGACCAGCTGGCCGTGTGTGGGGGTGGGGGGGGGCTGGCCGTGTGGGGGGGGGCTGGCCGTGGGGTGGGGGGTGGGGCTGGCCGTGTGGGGGGGGGGGCTGGCCGTGGGGGGGGGGTGGGGTGGGGGGTGGGGCTGGCCGTGGGGGTCACATTAACGGACGTTACCTCCCTGGTAACGTCCCATGCAGAATTATCATCAATGTGATGGCAACGAAAAAGTCCAACACAACACCACAAGAAATGAGGCACAAGCATCTCGAGGAAATTTATAAGGAAACCGGAGACGAATTAGATCAAATCTAATAGATCATCTAACCCTGTCAATGGCAGGGCTGGTGCAGCATGCACTGTAATTAGGAATAATGACTTACAACACAGGAATGAAGTAAAAACACGTATTGGGAACTATGCCTTTTCAACACAAACGGAGCTAACTGCCATTGTTATGGCGTTAAGATTCCTTGAACGAGACACTAATGGCGCAGTGATCTGCACTGACTCTAAACCAGCGCTACAAAACCTAAGTAAAAATCGGGCAGAAAATCTTGCGATAGTCACAGAAATCAAGAGAGCTGTGTGAGAACTAACCAATCAGGGAAGAGTCGTCAAGTTTCTGTGGATCTCTTCCCATGTTGCAATATGTGGGAATGAACGAGATGTGCTGGCTGCTGAAGGCGCTGCAGATCATATTGAATACTTCATACCCAAGACTCTTCAACAAATTAGAGGTATTGTCAGACATCACCGTGACAAGGTAACTGAGGAAAGGAGGATAGAAGCACAAATCAGCGAATCTGTACAATGGTACAACATGGTTGCAGCTGGCAATCCCTATCATTATGGCCGAAGAGAAGGAGGGCGAGGGAGAGAATCAGTAATAGCAAGAATCCGTCTAGGAAAGAAAAATCCATGGAGTTTCGGAAATGAAACAGTTGATCAGCGGAGTTGCAGAATCTGTGATGAGAGTGACGGAAACCGCCTTGACCACTACCTACGACACTGTGAATATCTGAGACACATTACAAATACGTGTAGAATAACAAATTGTTTGAGTTAGGATAATACCATTTGTCAAACATACTGTTATTAAAAGATTCCCCCAATTTGCACCTGCAAAATAACATAAGATTTTAAGGGTTGACGAACGTTAATCTTCTTGTTTGAGGAGCTGTTCACTTGAGACAGTTCAGCAAGTGACCAGCTGTGTCTGGGTACAAGTGACAGGATGAACAATGAATGGATGAACATTTTCTTCCTATTGGGGAGTGTTGTACATGCTCCTATGGCGGTGTGTCCACTCACAGGATGAGTGACGCTGCCCAATACTGTCACTATGGCGGTGTGTCCACTCACAGGATGAGTGACGCTGCCCAACACTGTCACTATGGCGGTGTGTTCACTCACAAGATGAGTGACGCTGCCCAACACTCACTATGGCGGTGTGTCCACTCACAGGATGAGTGACGCTGCCCAATACTGTCACTATGGCGGTGTATCCACTCACAGGATGAGTGACGCTGCCCAACACTGTCACTATGGCAGTGTGTCCACTCACAGGATGAGTGGACACACTCATCCTGTGAGGGGAGGGAGAACGGGTCCTAGGAGATGCTAGGAGGAGAGGAGGAGGAAGAGAGGGTTATAGGCCTACTCACCCTGGATCTGGGGACGCCGTCACAACCAGCCTTACCCCCCACTCCCCCGCCGTGTAAACACTAAACAGGTGGGGGGAGGCAGTTTTTTGCCCCTGGTACTCTCATCTCGCGCCTCCCCCATGGGGCGAGGGGGGGGGGGAAGATTTGGGGAGGGGGAGGAGTGGAGAGGTTGGGGTGCCACTCACCCCACCACCACCTGACACACTGTAACTACCTTAGACATCCTTAAAGTATTCCCCGCACCTTGAGGTACATGTTATGTGGGAAGACTAAGAAGAGTCCAACCTCAGTTGACGACAAAGGAATTAGGAACGTCATGATTACCAGGGAGCCGGTCGGCCGAGCGGACAGCACGCTGGGCATGTAATCCTGTGGTCCTGGGTTCGATCCCAGGCGCCGGCGAGAAACAATGGACAGAGTTTCTTTCACCCTATGCCCCTGTTACCTAGCAGTAAAATAGGTAACTGGGTGTTAGTCAGCTGTCACGGGCTGCTTCCTGGGGGTGGAGGCCTGGTCGAGGACCGGGCCGCGGGAACACTAAAGCCCCGAAATCATCTCAAAATAACCTCAAGATAACCTGACGCTTGTCAAGAATAAAACCAGAAGTGAGAAAAATACCCAGCGGGTTTTCTTCCTATTGGGGAGTGTTGTACATGCTGAACAAATCCACAAGGGCCGTGACGAGGGTTCGAACCTCACAGCCCTTGTGCATTTGTTCATTTGATGCATCACGCTATTGTGATTTCTGTGTGTAATTGTACATGCTGCTATGGCGGTGAGTCCACTCACAGGATGAGTGGCGCTGCCCAATAAACTCGCCCCTCGGGGCAAAATTAAAAAAAAAAAATACAGAAGTCTGCAACAAGATTAGGGGCATGCGTTATGTGGGGTTAGCTATAAGGATAGTTTAACAGGAATTAGATCTCACAACCACACAGGGAAAAAGAAACAAGAGGGAATATGACCACAACATACAAGATATTGAGCGGAAGACATTGTGGATAAGGCCCAAGCCCCTTTAGATTGAGGGAAAGCAGAACAAGAGTACTCTTCAAGTCACTTGTGTTGTCCCGTCTTAAGTACTGCTCAGTACACACTTCCCCCTTCAGAGCAGGAGAGATTGATGAAATAGAGGGAATACAGAGAACATATACGGCACGCATAGACGCAATAAAGCACCTAAATTATTGGGATCGTCTCAAAGCTCTCCAGATGTACTGACTAGAAAGGATACCAAATAATATACACATGGAAAGTACTGGAGGGCCAGGTCCCTAATCTACACAGTAAAATAACAACATACTGGAGTGAACGATATGGAAGAAAATGCAGAATAGAACCAGTGAAGAGCAGAGGTGCCATAGGCACAATCAGAGAACACTGTATAAACATCAGAGGTCCGCGGTTGTTCAACGTCCTCCCAGCGAACATAAGAAATATTGCCGGAACAACCGCGGACATCTTCAAGAGGAAACTAGATTGCTTCCTCCAAGGAGTGCCGGACCAACCGGATTGTGGCCGCTCCAAGCAACAGCCTGTTGGACCAAACTCTCACAAGTTAAGCCTGTCCTCGGGCCGGGCTTGGGAAGTAGAACATCTCCCAGAACCCCATCAAGCAGGTATCAGGCAGGACACAAGTGGAAGCAGGAAACGTAAATCAATATAAAGAAATGTAAGGAAATACTTGTAACCTGTACACAGTCAATAAGTTAATGACACTGAAAAAACTTGTCGACGCCTCCTCCATCCCCAGATTTAAGTTCAGTTTCATCCTCAACTTTAAGGTCAATTCCGAGAATGAACAAATCCACAAGGGCCGTGACGAGGATTCGAACCTGCGTCCAAGAGCACCCCATGCAGATGCTGCCTTAATCGACTAAGCTACGACATGGTCAAAAAAAAAAAAAGAGTTGAAACCGTCCGAGAATGAATTCGAATGTCACACAAGTTCACTAACAATGCAAGACCCTAACAGCAAGTCCAGCCGTTAGGACATAAGGAACTACAACCTTACATTCCAGTAGACATTGATAGCTATACATATGGATACAGTTTTCAGAGAAGCATGTATCTGGAACAAGTGGTACTGTTCATGTCAAAGTACGTTATAAAGAACATTTTTAGTGTCTATAATGAACAAATTGAATCCGCTAGGAAGTGATGTGGTGCAGGCAGACTTCATCCATAGCTTCAGATAAAGATATGACAGAGCCCAATAGGTTCGGGGAACCTGTACACCGGTTGACTGAAGGTTGAAAGGCTGGACCACAGCACAATTAGGGGAGTGAAACACATCATACTTTCACGGAAGCACAGAACCAATCACTCAAAGATTGGCTCTCTGAGCCAATCTTTGGAGCAGGAGGAGGAGGCAGGAGCAATGTTTCCCAAGCAGGAGACCTGCTCCCCGCCACTCTCTCCAGACTCCCGGGGGGGGGGGGGCGAGAAAGAGGGAGATAAAGAGGTAAACACAAAGAGGTGTAGACCCATGTCGATCTTGGGGGGAAAATATACCAGAGAACCCATTCACTTACCAAGCTGATGATTAGACCTCGTGATCCCATCTTTCATCTCTCTCGCTCTCTAAACCTGTATTGGTCAGAGGCCCCTTAACCGTTTGACTATTACGCACCACAATGGGTCACCCAATATCTCCCCATTACCCATTTGCCAGGCGAAATCATCATCATCAACAGCCCTATTAGGTTATCTTGAGATGATTTCGGGGCTTTAGTGTCCCCGCGGCCCGGTCCTCGACCAGGCCTCCACCCCCAGGAAGCAGCCAGTGACAGCTGACTAACACCCAGGTACCTATTTTACTGCTAGGTAACAGGGGCAGAGGGTGAAAGAAACTCTGCCCATTGTTTCTCGCCGGCGCCCGGGATCGAACCCGGGACCGCAGGATCATAAGTCCAGCGTGCTGTCCGCTCGGCCGACCGGCTCCCACCTGGGACGCACCTGTTATGTATTAGGAGTCCCTAATACAAATATTCCATCACAACATGCATTTTGCACATTAATTTTCTACATTTGTATTATGAAGAAATGATAAAACTCTATGGACTCAGTGCTGAAGATATCATCACTGATTTCATGAAAGGTGGCATGGAGGCCGTTTTCCTTATAGGGGAACATAGGGGGGATGACCCCTACCTGCCTATGACAATCCCATACACACCACCAGTCACCCTGTAAAGTTTGTTAAGACTAGACCCAAGCATCTGGCCTCCATCCTTAGACATCCTACTGTGTGTAGATACTAGGGAGGACACCCGGCTGTGCCCGGGTCTCCTTCCACCCAATCCCACTTAACCCTCTCTTATCTCTCTCCGCCATCTCCACCTTTCTCCCCCAATCTCACCCTTGCTCTCTCTCCTCTCTTCCTCCTCCACCTTCTCCCCCACTCTCCGCCCACCTGTCTCCCCACTAGCCTTCCCTCTCTTCAATCATCCTACCTTCTTCCCTCTCTTCAATCATCCTACCTTCTTCCCTCTCTTCAATCATCCTGCCTTCTTCCCTCTCTTCAAAGCATCGTATCTTTCCCCGTCTACTTTCTTCTGTCCCCCATCTCGGTCTGCCTCTGTTTCTGTCTGGTTATCTCTGTCTTGTTGTCTCTCTTCCTGTCTCTCTTTGCCCTGGTCGACCTGCTGGGCTGCCTCTGTTTCTGTCTCTATGTATGTCCTTGTCTCTTTGCTGACAATGACTGTCTCAGAGTCGCTCTCTTATAAAAATAATATATGGGTCCCCGGGCGTGTAGCCACCTAGTTGTATTCACCTAGTTGTGCTTGCGGGGGTTGAGCTCTGCTCTTTCGGCCCGCCTCTCAACTGTCAATCAACTGTTACTAACCACTAAATAACTAATGTTTTTTTTCCCCAACACACACATACACCCAGGAAGCAGCTCCGTATCAACTGTCTAACTCCCAGGTACCTATTTTACTGCTAGGCAACAGGGGCATCAGGATGAAAGAAACTTTGCCAATTTGTTTCTGCCTGGTCCGGGAATCGAACCCGGGCCACAGAATTACGAGTCCTGCGTGCTGTTCGCTCAGCTACCAGACCCCCAGAATGTGTGGTGTCTGCTGGTGGGTGAAATATTAAAATAAAAATATATAAGTTTTCCTTTGGCTTATAGAGAAAGAGGGTGGGGCTTAGAGATAGGGGTGGGGCTTAGAGAGATAGGGTGGGGCTTAGAGATAGGGGTGGAGCTTAGAGAGATAGGGGTGGGGCTTAGAGAGATAGGGGTGGGGCTTAGAGAGATAGGGGTGGGGCTTAGAGAAAGCCTTTGAAGCTGTGGGAGGATTGACTGTTTTACGTTACTATAGGTAAAGTATGATTAGAATTTGACGTCGTCGTCCCTTCACCTTCTAGTGTGTGGTCTGGTCAAATTACTTTAGCCACGTTATTGTGACTCATCGTCTGCATATGATTAGAATATTTGTTAATTTTACTAAAAATCAGTGCATAACGTTCTGTATTACTAGAAGAATTTGTGTTTAAAGTACTGTATTTGGCTGGCAGGCAGTGCCAAAATCAGTCATGAGGGTCAGACCATGGCACACTGTTCCCTACTGAATATTGGTGACCCCCCCAACCAACTTATGTCTGTCCTGTACCCCACACCATTCACCCTGCAAAATTGGGCGAGGCTAGCCCCAAGCGCTGACCTCCAACCTTTGACAAGACATTGTCGCATATGTAGGAGAGCAACACCTCTTGTTGGTAGTCTTTTCCAGAAGTAGTCTTGGCTTGTGTGACGTAGAAGGTGCTGACTGGATCTTGCGGACCATATACATCCTTCCTGATGACCAGATTGTGGGGCTTATTCTCAAGTCGATTGTGAATCGACTTGAGAATGGTCCAGGACGGACCGAAACGTGGTCGTCCCTTCACCTTCTAGTGTGTGGTCTGGTCATCATACTTTAGCCACGTTATTGTGACTCCTCGCCTGCATCCTTCCTGAACCATGGCGACATTGTTTACCTTTATTAAACCGTTCACGAACTTGTAAACTTCACAACCCAAGTTTATTATTATTATATACAACCTCGTAGTGCTTCCGAGCTCGTAAACTGCTTAATGAATGTCAACAACGCCGCCATGATTCAGGAAAGATGAACAGGTTTATCAAGTGGTTGATTAATGGTGAGCCTGGAAGGGTTGAGTGCCAGATTGTGCGGTGAGCTGGCACTCCTCCCAGCACCCGTGCCACCTTACCTGGCACTGCCCTGGCTGAGGACTCCAGCCACTGCTGCCCCTCTTGACTGTGTCAGGGTCAGTCTTGCAGTCTTCCCTGGGAGTGTGGTGGGTGTGTCTGCGGAGGGCGTGTGGAAGAGTCGTGGAGGGGTGAGGGAGGGCGTGGGAGAGCCGTGGAGGGGGTGAGCCCCCCACCACCACCTCTCCCATGAGGGAGGGTGACCCGTCAGTACAGCAGGGGCGGCGTCTACAGCTGTCATCACCCAGGAGATGTTTCCGGTGTTCTGCTGCTCCTACCACTCTCACCTTCCCTCCCACCAGGCTCCCCTCCTTCCCTCTAACCCTCCCACCAGGCTCCCCTCCTTCCCTCTCACCCTCCCACCAGGCTCCCCTCCTTCCCTCTAACCCTCCCACCAGGCTCCCCTCCTTCCCTCTAACCCTCCCACCAGGCTCCCCTCCTTCCCTCTAACCCTCCCACCAGGCTCCCCTCCTTCCCTCTAACCCTCCCACCAGGCTCCCCTCCTTCCCTCTAACCCTCCCACCAGGCTCCCCTCCTTCCCTCTAACTCTCCCACCAGGCTCCCCTCCTTCCCTCTAACCCTCCCACCAGGCTCCCCTCCTTCCCTCTCACCCTCCCACCAGGCTCCCCTCCTTCCCTCTCACCCTCCCACAAGGCTCCCCTCCTTCCCTCTAACCCTCCCACCAGGCTCCCCTCCTTCCCTCTAACCCTCCCACCAGGCTCCCCTCCTTCCCTCTAACCCTCCCACAAGGCTCCCCTCCTTCCCTCTAACCCTCCCACAAGGCTCCCCTCCTTCCCTCTCACCCTCCCACAAGGCTCCCCTCCTTCCCTCTCACCCTCCCACCAGGCTCCCCTCCTTCCCTCTCACCCTCCCACAAGGCTCCCCTCCTTCCCTCTCACCCTCCCACAAGGCTCCCCTCCTTCCCTCTCACCCTCCCACCAGGCTCCCCTCCTTCCCTCTAACCCTCCCACCAGGCTCCCCTCCTTCCCTCTAACCCTCCCACAAGGCTCCCCTCCTTCCCTCTCACCCTCCCACCAGGCTCCCCTCCTTCCCTCTAACCCTCCCACCAGGCTTCCCTCCTTCCCTCTAACCCTCCCACCAGGCTCCCCTCCTTCCCTCTAACCCTCCCACCAGGCTCCCCTCCTTCCCTCTCACCCTCCCACCAGGCTCCCCTCCTTCCCTCTAACCCTCCCACAAGGCTCCCCTCCTTCCCTCTCACCCTCCCACACACCTGGACACAGCGGCAGTGGTTGAAGCTCTACAAGTAAATGTTTGATGGTAGAGCTTGACCCAGATGACAACACAGCAGCTGTCACATCTGCAGAGATCAATTTGTCTTCAGCAGAGGACTCCCTCCCCTGTGCTCCAGCACAAGCCGTCATCACCCACAGTCAAGTCGGTCACAAGTCCTTAGTGATGACACGAACACTCATGCTATATTTGACATGAAACTGGAACAGGAAGGGAAGGGAACTTTGATGAGAAAGCGTCAAGCCGTTACGACTATATAGCACTTGGAAGGGGGTCAGGATAAGGATTTGGGATGAGACGGCGGGGAGGAATAGTGCCCAACCACTTGGACGGTCGGGGATTGAACGGCGACCTGCATGAAGCGAGACCGTCGCTCTACCGTCCAGCCCAAGTAGTTTGAACTGGAAGAGGAGTGACAGTTTACCCATGAGCGCCCCCTGGAGTAGTGCAGCAGTATTGTCAACAAACAAGCAAGCCATCTTCCAGAACTGACAGTACATGTAGAGACTATACGTGGAAATACAGTGTGACTACTGTACCG